GCTCAAGAAAAAACATAATACAAAAAGTGGGCACGGAAACAACCATCAAAAAGAAATTTGAGTTGCAGAGAAATTAAGTAAAAAAAAGATTTAATTGCTTTTGTCCTTCTCATTGCATGATTAGAGATCTAATTGAGCACTCACTAAGAAGGGAAAAAAAACATCCAACTTTCTACCTACACAGCGAAGCTTGTCTTTTGGAGAGCATTTATTAGTTTTTTATTTCGCCTGTCATCCTTATATATGTCACTAATAGCCTAGTACATCCGTAGTCGATGAATCGAGCGAATTATTATGGACATATTAATTCACTGAGCCGGAAGGAGTTCTATAGATGATACAGGGGAATCTAATACATTGGATTTGTCTGTCCTTGGTTATCGTATATCTATAGTCCCTTATCCATATAATATCACAAAGATCGTATATAAGTTATTAGTAATAGTAGTTAGAGAAAACATGAAAAAAGAGTAATAAAAATTAAAAAAAAATTATTCTTAATGTTTAAAAAAATAAAAAAAATAAAGATTTAAGTCGAGATGAGTTTGAGGTAACGAAAAGAAAAACTATTAAAAAGAAGTGAAGTTGTAGTTGACCAATTTACTCCTTTCACGTTTTCTCTAACTACTATTACTAATGGCTCAACTTACGACTATAACTTGTCTTCTCTAACTACTACTCCCGATGCCTCAGCCTACGTAATGAATGCGTAGTGAATACACATTGTGGGGTGTCGATGCCTCACCCACCATATATCCCAAACCGATGCCTCACCCATTGTGGAGTACTATTTTGTAGTGAAAATAGTACACATTGAAATTTGAAAATATATCCCAAACCGTGGAGTACTATTTTGTAGTGAAAATAGTACACATTGTGGAGTACTATTTTGTAGTGAAAATAGTATTCCCGATGCCTCACCCACCATATATCCCATGTCGGTCGTCCATCCGTCTATTTCTCCGAGCTGATTGAATAAAACTTTATGCTAAGTTCACTACTCTACTCTCCGGAAGATCACTACTCTCCGTCCATCCGTCTATTTCTCCATAAGATCACTACTCTCCGTCCTAAGAAATTTGAACCATAAATTTATCCACAAGTGGATGCAACAAAAGTTAAGGCGATAATTATTCAATAGTCAAAGCGCAATGCAAGCCTCTCTCTCTCTCTCTCTCTCTCTCTCTCTCTCTATAACAATGGATATATGGTGGGTGGGTGATCTCGTATTAGTAATGGATGCATTGTTAAAAGAATCTAATTATTATCCCGCCCATGAATGAATTACGCATTCCGCTTCCTGTGGGTGCTTCTTTTTCCAAACTGATAAATACGTGGTCATGCCGAAACCGACGCTACTAGCAAAGGTCTCGAGGACAAGATCAACCAAGCTCTGCACACCTCCCTGTTTGCTTCAGCTCATGGTAGTCGATCCAGCTGAGGTGGCTGCAGATGTATCGCTGTAGAGTCACCGGCACTAGCCAGTCTTCATCCCCATGCCATAGATGAACTGGCAAAGGGTGGTTGCGAGAGATCCATCGGATCAAAATTCCCACTTCCGGAACATCATCACCATCATGTCTCGGTAAAACGACACATGCATGGCTTGCTGAGTGGCAAGCTTCGGCCTCTGCAAGCACAGTGACGCTTGCATTCTTCAGTTCTCGCAGCGTCCTACTACAAAAGTACAAAGCTCCTTGGACAGTTGAAATGGGTCTCTCAAAATAAGAAGTAGCACCAACCTCTTCCAACATTCCACTATTCTTCATGGCGTACTCACCAAGTTGTGCATCCAAGCGGTTGGGCAGATGGGTTGTGCCTTTAATAAAGGTGAATCGCTTGTGTAGCAAGAATTACCAAGCAAAATTTGGGCTACTAAAAACCATAAATAACAACAAAAGCAAAGCCATAGTAACAGATGGCTTTCATGATTACACTAAAGCTGTTCTTATGCTGCTGCTTTTAGCTGTCGCTCACCTGGGTTCCATCCATCAGCTCATTTACACACACAGACTGCATGTCCTGATACAACTTCTTCCACTGCTGAACCAGTTGTGTTTTCCTTTTACATTCCAGCCTAAGTCTTTCCATCTCCATTTCAGCAGCACCTGAAGTGTTCTGTTTCTGAAGGGGAAAACAAAGAAAGAAACAGAAATGTCATCATCAGCACTCAGCAGTGTGCTTGTTTCTTGATCATTTAGAGAGGCCAAGTTCATATGAAAACAGACAATGTCCTTGAAGAATGCCAGATTATATCATGAGCTAAAGACCATAAAATTGAACCATTCAAGTAGAGATAAAAGGCCATAAATTCTTCTTTAAAGACTATTGCTCTCTTGGCACTGAACCTCCTTCCCAGATATGGATACCAGCATTCCAGAATTATCAAACAGGGAAGGACATGGCACCTTCTTCAAACAGCTACTCTTTTTGTTCACTAACAATCGTGTGGGGCATTACACAAATTTTGAGCCCAAGCAATCAAGCATGTAGGAAGAGTTTTGATTTCATAAACAAGAGGCTTCACTTCTTATAACATATGCATTCTTTTCAGAAAGTAGAGGTTTTACAAGACACGGATGTCGTGGTAAAGTTATCTGTAAGAGGTTAGTGAGAAGCATTTTGATTCTTCATGGATCAAATAGTCAAAGTAATAGCCTAAGTTGGACTAATTAGAAAAAAATATCAAGGCTTTTGTGATGATAAAAAATGAATTAAAAGTGATAGAATAAAAAACTTCATCATTAGCAACAAGCAATATGGAAAGTTTCTCCAGCTACAAATGCATTCATTCTAGCATATTCCTTTCAGGCAT